GACAGTTGTCAAGTTCTTGAGGTCTGGTCTTCAGAAAAGTAAATTCAATCAGTTGCCTATGAGAAACTTAGAATTCTCCCAAAGAGGCCCTTCCTGCTCAAAGGCACCTCAGGCTACTCTGCCACCACCAGGGAGCCCTGAAGATGTTCAGAGTGATGAACAGGGTAGCTTCATACACTCGGGTCTTGAATTTATAAAGGACGGGTCACGTATGAGCCTAGCACAGGAACAGTTCACCTGGAGTGAAGGAGCACTCAGTGAACTTCTGACGCAGGACGCAGTGACCTGTTGTCACTGGAGAGAAAGCCACATGGCTCTGCTCAGAACTGGCAGTGCCCACGGGTGAGGGCTGCCACTAAAGCCGCTGATGTGTCTGGAGCCATGCAAGCCACTTACTGCCCGGGCTCAAACAGTGGCCAAGCTGTCCTGCATATGGAAGCCCCAGGAAAGAGGGGCAGAGCCTCCCCCTCACAGTAAGAAGAGAGAGGGCGGCTGCCTTTTACAAGGTGGATTTTATTTAACGAGCCCTTCCAGTTCATGAAATGGAGTTTAAATGACCCTCAAAAAGCAAATGCAACACCCAAGTGTCCCCTGCCCCACCCCAGTCCTACCCCCAGGGCCATCAGATTCCTGAAGGCATTCAAGATAGACTACCATTCAAAAGACTGGACTACCACGGCCAATTCAACAGCAATGAAGAAAATCCTGTTCCTTCTGCTGATCTGAAAACATGTTTTGGTGCCTGACAAGTTTGGTCAATAAGTATTCACTAATTTTATAATCAGAAAAAAAAAAGGAAGTGCTCACTTCAGCAGCACATATACTAAAATTGGAACGATACAGAGAAGATTAGCATGGCCCCTGCGCAAAGATGACACGCAAATTCGTGAAGCATTCCATATTTTTATGAAGTAAATATGTCAATTTGTGAAAAAAAAAAAAGAGAGAGAGAGAGAGAAAGAAAACAAAACTTTTATTTTCTGGATGTTTCTTATATATACTCACCCCCCAACCCCCCCCCCCCCAAAAGAACCCAATGAAGTGTTGATGAGGATGTGTAAAAACTAAAATCCAAAAACATACACGCAAATGTTTATAGCCTTCTGTTGAGGAAATTCAGAAAGAGAGAGAGAGATAGAAGCGGCTACTGGAGCAGTCCCAGTGGCTGGGGCCCATAGCATACATTATACGAAGTTATACGAAACCTCAAGTCAGGTGTGCAATACCTGGAAAGAATTGGCTCCCTGCTGTACGGCCTGCAGTGGGGTCCCCTCAGAGAATCCACTAAATCAGAACCTGCTGCTGGAGCCAGTTACACTATATCCCTAATTATACAACTGTAGGCCCAAAGCTGCTTCCTTAGGAACACAAAGTCTTTCCCAGGTGTTTACACATCTTGCAGGCTTTTGCCAGTGACCAGGCACAGTCACCCAGGGCAGTGAGAAGAGGGCTCTATATTGCATGGCTTTTGTTTGGTTTGAGATGTAGAGAGGATGGGGGAGGAGGAGGGACAGGGTGGGTGGGGTGAGAGAGCCCACTTTCCAAATCCCCACTCCAATGTGCAGCCTGCCAAACTGCACACAGACATGACAGGGGATTGTAAAAATGCACCCCAGACAATGTAGCTAATGTACCAGGATCCCCTGCTAAGGAGTGCAAGGGCACGTCAGGAAGTGACTAGGATATCAGAATCCCAACAGCACACCCTAAAAGGAACAGCTTTTCTTGAGCATGGATCTCCTTCCTCTGTGTATCCCCTTCTCCAAAGAGAATGAACCCAAGGACACAGAAAAAGAAAAATCTGGACTCTGGCTCTGTCTCTGGAATAGCCTGTAAGCAATTCAGGCAGAATTTCTTTACACAATGGATGGGAGAAATATGAACCAGGCTGCCAAAACACAAGCAAGTACTGTGTATTCAGCTCGAGAGGAGCCTGGACACATTTCAGAAAGAGCAGAAAATCCAAAGACTGGGACACTGACTCCTGTCCTGGGCTGACAGTCATAAAAGACAAGTTAATTTGTGTTTCACAAGATAGCACTAAGGGCAGATGGGTGTGGAATGACCCTGACCCATCTGGAATCTTACGGGACACATCATGCAAGGCTTTTCAAACACCCTATCCTGGGCTGACAGTCATAAAAGACAAGTTAATTTGTGTTTCACAAGATAGCACTAAGGGCAGATGGGTGTAGAATGACCCTGACCCATCTGGAATCTTACGGGACACATCATGCAAGGCTTTTCAAACACCCTGGTCAAAATTCTGGCCAAGGGGGTGAAGAAGCTTTTCCTCCTAATAAAAGATGTTCTCAAAAAGAAAGAAAAAAATATCCAATAGAATCATGGTATTTTTCCTTTCAAATGGGACCTAGAGATTATCTCTTCTAATTATATAACTAAGGAGCCCACTCCCAGAGAAATCAAACACATGGCCTGAGAGCATTCTGTTAATTAGTGTCAGAGGCAAGAACGAAGCCCAAGTTTCCAGACTCCTAGGGTCATAGTGGCAGTTCATTCAAATGGTCGTGAGTGTCTCTGAATTCCAGGGTTTTCCCTTTTCTGGGCTCTTTGCAAAAGGTGTGGACAAGTCAAATTGGAGGGTGGATTCGCATTGCTTGAGCTAGATGGTATAAGCAAAAATGAAAATGTTTTTCAGAAGTTCACTTCATTTAGAAGTGCTGCAGACAGGTTGGCCTGGTGCTCAGCTGATGTGGATAATGGCTACAATCTTTGTTCTGGGGATAACATTATATGTCATCATTTAACTATTTCCTTTTTACCCTTTTCATCTCCCCTTAGCTTGGAAATTGCAGAGCAGTCAACAATGGCCTGTGTCCAGGAAGGATCCCCAAAATGGCTCTAGAATATGGGGTGGACTTGGGGTTGAGGATATGGACAAGAGAATGGAACAAAAGAGGAAATGACGTAATAAAGTCTTTACATCTTTGAAATGCAGATAGAACAGTTTACTATTGTGAGGAAAACATCAGAGGCAGGCTACGGATTGCGTTTGAGTTGGTGATTTTGAATTTTGTGAACAGGTGTTTCACTAACCTCAAGTCAGGTGTGCAATACCTGGAAAGAATTGGCTCCCTCCACAAAGTTTTAGACTTATGAAATACTAAGATGAAATCTTGTGAAGAGGAGTAAGCTTTAAAAACAATTAACCTTAGAAAGATTTAGAAAAGACTTTGACCTCAGAAGGCAGTCTTGGGTTATCCCCAGTTCTATCACAACTTGTCTGCTTGGGGACCAGCCCAGAGGCCCAGTCTGGGACCTCGCCACAGTTCATGTAGTTCATTTTGAAGGGGAAAGACAAAGTAAATGTCACAAAGTAAGAATGACATCACTGCAGTCTTGGTTTCTCTATTTCCTGGTCTGCTTTTTTTAAAAATGGAAAAAAAAAAAAAAAAGTGGTTTTAAGTGAACTCCAACCTAGACATTCAATAGATATTTGTTGAATAAATGAAAGAACTTAAATTTAAATGTTTACTTTGTGAACTTCTACTGTTAGATGTATGAGTTCATAAATAGCAAACCTGTTCAATCACTGAGTATTTTTTTTCCTATTACGTTGGCTTTTGAAGTGTTTTAAAGAAATCATCCAAATCCACATATATTGCCCCCCCTCCAAAAAACCACATGTATTTCTCAGATATTCTCCTATGGAGGAGCTAATACAACTATTTCGAAAGTGAGGCAAAACAGATTGGAAGTTAATTAGGGGTACAACTTACTTAAAAATATTGCAGCAATATTTTAGATCTACAATCTTGTCTTAGTTTTCTAGATTAAACCCTCTCTAGTACTGCTCTTCTACTGTATCTTACATTTTTAAAAAGGAAAAAGAACAAAACCATTGAAACCATGAAAACATAAGATGACATTCTAAAGAAGAAACTGAATCATCATTATCATATACATATATATATATTTAAAGTTTTGCATCATCTTCTAGAAACATCTTAGAAGGTCCAATCAATGTACAGGATGATGAAATGACATTTCTCTGAAGAAGCAACAGGATGAAATATATGGAATTATAGCTATCGCACCTAAAACGAAATGTGGCTGAGGTACTGAGTTTGAGATTTTTCTACGTGTCCCCCCTCCCTGCCCCAAGAATGTCAAGAATTTGAACTCCTTGTTCTTAAGGTGAAAGGGCATTAACTCGAGTCTGTTCATGAAGAAAAGAGGTGGCAAATCCTGAGACACTGGAGCTATACACTAAAATCTCCCAAGTTTAATACAGCCATAGGTGCCTATTTCCTTTGGTGCTTCTAAAGTAATTGGAAAGAACATTTGAATGGTAGGTCATTAATTAGGAGCCAGTGAGATCTCCATTTGCATCTCAGTAATTCTCTACTCCTTTATTTCAACATTTAGCTTTAGGTTTAAAATATTTGCTAAGAAAGCAGAGAGGCGATTAACAGAGATTTTTAAATGTGTGCCATAGTTACACATTCTGTCAACAGCATATAAGGAAACTATACAGCATAAGTTACAAAATGGTTATTTCGTGTTTCGCAAACATTCCAATAAACCCTTCACTGTGGTGTAATTCAATTCGACAGTAGAAAAGCAAAACTGAAACGAAACTCAAGAGCAGCCTAGCTGGTTACATCTCGAAGAGAACCTCGGGGAATCGGTCAGCTACAGTTTTCCCCTGTGAATCTCAGGGAGGAAATCTTCCCTCTTTTCCTTCGAGAAGATTGTCTACTCAAGGTACACAAGGAAAGCAGGAAGAGACCCTGCAGCTCACTAGAGGACCCCAGAAGTTACTCCAGACCCAGGATAAATTCTTCCAGGCTGCATATAGAACTCCAAATATCCCCAGCTTCCCAAAGCAATAGAGGGTGCTATCTGGGGTTAGCACTGTCTGCTAGTGAATAACTTAACATGTCTGGGTTTTGATTGTAAACTCCTTGTTCTTAAATTAGCTAGAGCTATCACATTCTAGAAGTGCTTGGCCACCACTTTGATACGATGTGATTTTGTTGTTTTAAAATATTTCAACTTTATTTCATGAGTTGTATAGTATTATTCCAACAGACTGTATTAAAGGCAGTGATCACTAACACAGAGCAGGACAGGAATAACGGGCAGCCAGGCTGCTCCCAGGCCGAGACCTGTCCGGCCAGGGTCGCCGACATGCAGGTCAGTAGCTCATATGCTGCTACCCTCAGAGCACAGGCTGCGGGAGAAGTAAGAAGACAGATGCCGCTGTACCCTTAGAAGCTATTTAATAAATATCATCCAAAAACAAAATGTGAAATAAACCCTCCAGAGCACAACCACCTTAGGCCAACTGAATATAATCTAGTTTATTCAACCAAAAATTGAGAGAGAAGGAAAATATTAAAACAAAACAAAACAAAAAAGCAGTTCTTAACACTAGCAGTAAATAAATTTGTACAACAATTCAGTCTGTATAATATGATGAAATAAATCTACATCTTTTCTTATTTTGGTGCTTTGAATTATACATACAAACAACAATTACAGAGGCTTGTTCACAAAGCATGTGGGCCCAGGAAAAGGCTCTCAGAAACCCTCCACGGCAATCTTGAGTGTCAGCACTGACTGCCCGAAACTAATATTTCCTTTGCAAAGACCCACAGCTTTGAACGAATGATTTGCCTATGACTTTTTTTTCTTTTTTCTTTTTTTTTCTTTTTTTTTTTCTTTTTTTCTTTTAACTTTTAATGCATCAAACAACTGTGGCCAGTGAAAGGAAACAAAACTGGCAATTCATCCATTTGGATATCAGACCTATTTTCTTCTTAATCTCCACACTTTATTTCCCTCATTTTCCTTAAAACTCTTGGCGTCCTTCATGCCTTTCTTATAGCTACCCAGATGCAATGAAGTCCCTTCCTCAAATGTACAATATTTCTTACAATATAAGTTATATGCAATGTTCAGCATTTTTTTTTTCACAGCACTAGAGACCCTGTTAAATAGGGAATATGAGTCTGAATGGCTTATTCACAAATGGGATCCAGAGTCAGTGGTTGGAACACAGACACCACAGTGAGCTCCTCTGCAAAAGTGGCAAACACCATTTTGCTTTCTGCCTTCAAAAACATATATCCATTGCTTTAGGCTTCATGATACTGCTCCTGCAAAAACGCAAGTAGAGGGGTTGGCGGGACTCACGCACAGAGCCCTGTACCCATCGGGTGAGGTTCTAACCCATGGCAGTGACCATGCTGGAAGGATGGTGAGGTCCAAAGGAGAGGCTGGACGGTGGGTGCATCGGCGTGGGTGTGGTCAGCATGTGGCTGGAGTGGCTGAAGGGGGAGATGTGGCTCAGGGAGGTCATGTGTCTGGACAGGGCGGCCGGGTTGAACGAGCTGCTCTTGGGGAAGTCCTCCAGCGCCTCGTGCACCTTCTTGCATTTTTTGGATTTGCTAGACATTTTTCGGTTTCTGGTCTGGATGCCTTCCTTCTTCATAGTCAGGGGTCTGTTAATCTAAACAAAGATCAATTTTTTTTTTTTTTTACTTTTTTGCCGCCTCTGAAATGGCACAGGCTGTCACACACTGCCGCGGGCCCCAGGTCAGGGATCTGTTTCAGTTTCAGTCCACCCCTCCTTCCTCCCACCTTCTCCTGCCCCCTCCTTCCCAGGGACCCCGAGTACCGCCCACAAGGCCTGAGGGGCTGGGGGTCAGACTGGCAGCTTCTATCACTTTCAGAGACCAAGAGACCACAGGTGAGATGCCCCAAGCAGAACTTATTAATTAAGCTCATTTGTATCAATAATTTTTACTCAGGGAAATTTGCATTCTCAGTATGATTGTTTTCCTCTGGTAACTAAAATAGAAAAACCCGTCTTATTTCTTTAGATTTTCCTTAGAATATTTCTCAAGAGCACAGGCTACTGAGGAATATTCAAGAAGGAAATACCATTTTGTCTACTTTTTCTCAGTATGATTGTTTTCCTCTGGTAACTAAAATAGAAAAACCCGTCTTATTTCTTTAGATTTTCCTTAGACTATTTCTCAAGAGCACAGGCTACTGAGGAATATTCAAGAAGGAAATACCATTTTGTCTACTTGTCTGAAAAATCTGTTTGGGGACTGTAAAAACACTGCCAAGGTAATCAGTCTTCAGGTGCTTAAGTCTGTCTGCCTTGGAGAAACTGCGGTTATCTGCTCTGCTAAGTAATTTTTGGTTGCCTGTCCTCCGCCCGCCTTCTTAACAACGACAGGTGCTGTAAAATCTTCCCCTGGAATGTGTATGTTCAAGGGTCATATTTTAATAAAACATACCTTTCCAAATGGTAATCCCTCACCTGTACCATTCCAACAGTAACTACAATGATTGCAAGTTGCTACTTCTACCTAGTTCCAACTCTCTGCTTCTAACTAAACAAACAGCTAAATGACCAATTAACAAGAATTTAATAACCACTTTCGGGGAGCAAGCACACACTCATCCTAAAAGTTAAAGACCAAGAATGAGCTAGGTAAAGAGACAGTGGCAAAGTCCTGCTCTAAAGATCACTAGACTTCAGTTTCTGACACAGCCCACAATCTCTTTCTTCTTGATAAACCTCATTTGTCTCTTTTTAAATACGTTTGCTTTGGGGGCCCCGAATCAAGAAAGGGGACTTTACAAAGCAAACAGAGGCTACTGCCCACACAGACTCAGACTTAGATCTACCTGAACATTAGACACCTGCCACGATTAGCAAACTGCACGTCTGGCCATGGTCCCAGGGAAACGTGGCAAAGAGACTCAAGGAATGCATGTCAGAGTCCCTGTCCCTTCTGACTTCCTGGGGGAAACAGCCCTTTCCATCTGGGTTCTCAAAGGTAGAGAAAGATGTACCCCTGGCTCCAGGAGGGGAGCTCCCCAAATTAGAAAATGACTGTTAAGGAAGAGAGAATCCAAATGGCCAAGAGAGAGCAAGCTGTGAGAGCAGCAGACACACAGCTTCCTAGAGCCAAGATGGCAGGGGTCACCTGAAAAGAGGGACACAGCCCCACATCGGAGCTGAGAAGGCAACGCGAACCAAGAAAGGTCACTGCCAGAAGAATGTCTCAGGGTTCCTTCTTAAAGTCAGTATCAAGACAAAGAGGCAGCTGTAGACATGACAGGAATGTACTCCCACATCAAATCTTCCCCAAGATAATGTCCAGATACACAGCTCTTCACGCAGATATCTAGATATCCATAGCCAGATATCTAAATATAATATCTAGTTACACAGATAGCCACACAACCCCAGATAACTAGTCACAACACCACCCAGATCCGCTGATACTGAGATAGGCAGTTATCTAAACACCCAGATAAGAAGAAACTTAGGGCACACACGTATAGATATCTAGATGGGCAGAACAAAACAAAACACAACATAACGAAAATGTTCATAGATTATTATCTCATATTGTTAAATACACATAAATCGCCCCCTCATACAAATTCCTACTAAACCAGAGAAGAGAGAAAAACCACTCTTGGAGATGAAGCAGTTTCTCTCTCCCAGTCCCTGCAGCCCACCCACGAAGACAGAGCTAATTGAGAATAGGATAGGGGGCTGGCTGCTTGGCTCAGTTGGTAAGAGTGTGGTGCTGATAACACCAAGGTCATGGGTTCGGATCCCTATACCAGCCAGCTGCCAAAAAAAAAAGAGTAGAGTAGGAGGGAGCAGTGGAGAAGAGAAGATTCCTTGGCTTCTCTCTGACAAACTCATATTCTTATTCTATGACATCATATTCAAATTCTAATATTATATAATATATATTTTTAGATTGGACACAGTGAGATCATATCTCATCACAGCCAACTGTTTTAAAAAATGTACAGCCAGTTAATTTTCCTATATCTCTGTGGAAATAGGAAAGAAAGATACACACACACACAATTCATCACAATTTTGTTGTATTCTTTTTTTTTTTTTTTGTCTTTTTTGTGACCGGTAAGGGGATCGCAACCGACCGGCCATCTCTATATAGGATCCGAACCCGCGGCGGGAGTGCTGCTGCGCACCCAAGCGCCGCACTCTCCCGAGTGCGCCACGGGGCCGGCCCCATATTCTTTTATTTTGATCTTTAATTACCTCCAACATTCGAGGTGACTGCATCTTGCATATATGGTAATAGCAGGTTGAGTGAATATCTTTGTTTTAATTAATAACTTTACGTTTCAGAGCAGTATTAGGTTCACAGCAAAATTGAGAGAAAGATACAGAAATTTGTCAAACATGCCACATCCTGCCCATGCAGAGCCGCATTATTAATATAGCACACTGATGAACCTACACTGACACATCATTATCACCAGAATCCATATTTGTTTGCATTAGGGCTCACTCTTGGTGTCGTACAGTCTATGGGTATTGACAAATGTGTGGTGACATGTGCTGCCATTGTCATATCATATAGAGAATACTTTCACTGGCCTATGTATTCTCTGTGCTCTGTCTATTCCTACCTCCCTCCCCCAAACCCCTGGCAACCATGGATCTTTCTACTGTTTCCATAGTTTTGCTTTTTCCAGAATAGTCATATAATTGGAATAACACTTTGGATGTCTTTTTTGAGTGCTGTGAGAAAGTAAAGTTCCAATGTAATTTCTATAGACATTGGCCATGTAATGGGGTGGGCTGAGAAAAATGACATCATGTAGCAGTACACAGCACTACCTGGACCATCCCACTAGATGAGTTGGTGCAGGTAGTCTCTCTAGCACTGAAAGGGGACAATCTCAAGAGGCTGCAGTTGATAAAACTGAAATCACCAAGACTTTCACACTTACATTGCAATTGGAAGTAAGACCAGAGAGTGACTACTATACATGAATCAATACGTTGTTCCAGATGTTTTTCTTTAGAGGGTAGAGAAAATGGCTAGAACTAAGTGAGCTTACCAGCATCTTCCTCAGAAGAGGAATAGCAAGAAGTACATTGATATCTATTAAGCCCTTTTCTAGTGGCACTTGGAAGATCTTTGCAAGGGTCCTTGTCCCTGGTTTGTTTCCTGTACTTTGCCATGCTGCTAAGTACATTGCCCATAGACCTAGCTTCCTTGATACGGTGTTTCATCCTAAACCCATGCATCGTAAACAATTTGCACTGAAGAGCTGGAGAAGCTGTGTTGTGTCACAACAAAGTAAGTATACCTCTTAGACCTTCCCTTCGTGCTTCCCTTAGTCTGGAAAAATCATGCTACTCAAGTTTGAGAATGTTAGGTTATGATACTGATTCCACTATGAATACCATTTCCTGTTGTTTTATAGGGTTTGGTTAGGATTGTGGTCATTGTACATGACAGATCACTTGTAGGTATCAAGATTTGATAAATTTGATTCTTTTTCCTTGCATTTGATAAACAAAAGGAGTGGAAGTAAGAGCTTTAATTCATTAATTGCCTACCAGTAATATAATTAATATTTATTCTATTGTAGTCTTGTGGTATGGTTTCAAAGAAACACTTTCTAACAAAGTGTCAGTCCTATACGTTTAATATTCTATGTTTTTCTGTTGTTGATTTAAAATGTATTTTACTTTTTTCTTTAATAGGGAATGAGAGTCATGAAAATGACCCTTTAAAAAGGTAAGATTTTACAGATATTTCCACATGAAAGTAATAAAGATCCCCAAAAGCTGCCTACAGAAGAAAAATGTAGCCAATCCACTGGATAGGAGAGTATCGGACTGTACTAACGTGTGCAGAATTTAAGCTGTGGCTTTCTGGGACAGGATTCGGGAGGATCAGAAAGCCGGCGCCACCTTCCTGAGAATATTATCCTCCTGCCCCAGTCCCACGAAGTACACCAGAGGGTTTGTTTTTATGGGTAGCAATTTTGAATTAGCCACACTAATTTTGGTACCGGGCTTTCAATCAACTTATTTACTAGGCCCAGGCACACGAGCAGTCTTTTTCAAGCCCAACTCCCAAGAATATCAATCCCGAAATAGAATATCAATCTTCAGTACAGTATCAATCCCCAAATAGAATATCCTCAATAGACTATCAATCCTCAATATACTACCAATCCTCAAACAGCCCATCAGGATATGCTAAGAGCAAAGGCAGAGCAAGCCGAAGCATCAGGACACTTCATAGATCCCAAATAAAGAAATGCAAGAGAACAGAGAGCTAACAGAGCAGTAAACACGGTCCCTGAGAGGAACTCTGTGCATGTGTATGGCACACACTCCTGGCTGGCATTACTAGGAAGAGGACATCCTAAGCCCATGAGACCCTGTCGATGTGCAGCAGCTCTAAATTTACACAGCCCATACCTTCAGACTTGGACACTTGCCACTCACAGGACAGCCACCCTCACTCCCTTTAGGTGGCTGTCAGTTAATGGAACAAATTCGAAAGAACAGGAATGTTGCTATCTCACAGGAACCCCTGGGCTCCCATCCCTGCCCTTGTCGCATTTCATTTTCGTGAAATTAGGTATTTCCTATTTGCTGACCACCGAGTAGAACACACAGGTCAAATGTCAGCCTCAGCTTGAATTTTAATTCCCCAGTTGTGTCACTGCCTTCATTTCCTTTAAAAGGGAGATTTTTATTTTACTGTTTGCAGCACTTGATTTTATCAGATGACTGTGCTCAATGTCCATATTTTTCTAAAAAATTAAACTCAAAAACTGTTGAAAGAAAATGGAGTTGGGTCACTTCTAACATACCCCTCTCTCTCCTCACTTCCCATCAGACAAAGAAAATTTTAACTGCAAAATTATTCCCACTCTTGGACTCAAAAATATTACCAAAGAAAAGTCAAGAGAAGGAGAAAGAATTCGGCTAGTCTTTATCTGTGATCCAGAAAATTCTGGTATGGTTATAAGAACCTGGAACAAAAACTACAGCGATCCTGGTGCATTTTTCTATCAATATGTTATCATGCAAAAAGTTGGGCCCAATACTTGAAGCTACCAGAAATAGAAAACCCAGTGGCAATTTTGAATTAACCAGACTGACTCCTTTCCTTCCAAAGCCACTAAATTGTTCCACAGATATGTTCCTATGGGCTCTAAATAGCAGAACTATAACTTTTTTTTTTTAAGTAATTCTTTTCTGTGTTCTAAGGAACTAGAAATTAAAAACAGCCCTGATCTGTCATAATAAAGAAGGTTCTACTTTTTTTGCTGTTCATTTTGAAAATAATCCACCACAGTCAAGAGTGCTAATTCTAATGCCACACGACTATGCCCACCTGTCATTATGAAACGTGATAATTTAATACTTAAATAACTGTTTCACTTTTGTACTCTTGGGAAGAAAGTGCTACATAAAGCTGGTGCTTAATGATTTTGACAATTATGTTATATGTGATTATTCATCTTCCTATAGTTTTTTTTTTTTTTTTTTTCTTTAAAAGAGATATTCAGATATAGTGGACTAATACCTACTCAGGCACAAGATTTCCCATCTCAACAATTTTGAACGTTTAGCACAAGTACATAATACCAACTGGTAAAATCAGTGCTCCAAAGGACGAGGTTCAGTGTAACCCTTTGCAGTATATGGATGGTAACATAAGTACAAGCAAGCTCAGAGTATGTCTCCGGTCCTACTGACTTTATGTGAACTTACATACAGTCAGTTTCTAAAAGCCACACTGTTCGGTTCCCTAGCAGGAGGCAGAGTATATCAATAATGCAAGCTGCTCAGTGTTTTGCTAGTTGTGACATATGAAAATCCTGGCAATACCAGGAAAAAAAAAATCTACAGATCTTCCCTTCAGTCATCTCTCCTGTTTCCTGCATGAGTTTATTCAGTGTTAGATATGCATCTCCTGGAAGAGCTAGCTCCATGATGGGTCTTCAGTGAATCTGCAAATGTGGAAAACAAAAAGAGCAAACTGGAAAGACGGAGCGAGGGTGAAGGGACAGGAAATGTAGGAAAGAAGAAAATGAAAGGTTCTATCTAGGTGTTCAGCAGTCAGATATATCTAAGGACTTAAACACAAATTCTAAATGTGTTCTGAGTGTCTCCCTGTAGTGTATGAATTCCATGGAACTAAAATATCAAATCACCCAGGGCAGATGATTAAGAAAGAAAAAGACAGCTTAAAATGTGACAGCCAATGAACTCTAGAATTAAAAGCAATTATTACTCAGAGGTCTGGAGATTTCCTATGAAAGGTGAGGGAATACAAAATTATATAAAATGGAAGTAGAAACCTCCTCTGCAATCTGTACAAACAGAAGAAACCCCAAGAAAGTGTCAAATGAACTCCTGCTCATCCATCATCCATAGTTTACAATTTTCAGCCCTCTCTTTTTCCTTCTTTATCTTTACCTTAAAAAAAAACAACAACAACTCTAATGGTACCATGACTTATTTTAACAAGAAGTTTTTTGCTGGTTTTATTTTTTTGTTGTTGTTGTTTTTTTTAACTAAGGCCAGGTTCTGAGTGATTCAGAACATTCTTTTGTGGTGTGATCATATTCATTCTGGGCTAACACCTCCAGCCATTTTTCTTTTCTTTTTTTTTTCAAGCACTTCTTGTTCTGATACGTTCAAACATCTTGATGTTTAGGTTGGGGAAGCTGAGTTGTTGTTTATGAGTTATCTCCTGTGCTCAGATATCCGGCAGCTATTTCCTAGGAAGTTAGCTTTGCACATGAGAGAAAGGAAAAAAAAAAACACCACGCTGCATGAGGAGAAATGGGGGGAGGTTGAGAAAGCTGGAGAAGAGGGCAAAGATCAGAAAGAAGAAAGCCTAGAGATCTAGAATTGCCAAAAATTAAAGTCACGTGGGACTTCCATCCCTAGAAAGTCCTTCCTTGTTCTAAATAGGATGTGAAAGGTGATGAGCTGCACTACGATCTGATGGGGAAGACAAATCTTTAAAAAGAATACAGAGGTGTTTTTTCCTGCCCCCTTAGGATTTGGTGGATGCTACTTCATCCATTACTCTGCATGGGGAAATTCCCCTCCTCCCTGTTTGGTGGATGTCAGCACCACAAAAAGCATTTTGATCTCTCGACTGTGGTTAGAGTTGGCATTTGCCAAGCTTGCTTTTATTTGTCTCTGACATACGTTTACCATTCAGTCTGGCCTCAGGTTCCAAAGACAAGCTTACAGATGAACCTCTCCTGCTAGGTTTCTTTTTAAATGCTTGACAGTACCAGGTGTTCTCAAGAAGTCCTAATGATCAAGAAGTTTAGAAAAGGGAAAAAAGGAGGGGGTGGTGGGGAGACTATCACCCCACTGATAGCAGTTCAAAGAGAAAATAAGACCAAATGCTGCAGGAGACTGAGGCAAGACAGGACCCACAAAACTTTTCCCACTGGAATCACCTGTGGGAAATCCTCAATTCTAAGACCAGAAAGAAGAAAACATGTGTTAGATTCAATGGCTGCTGCTCCTGAAATTCAGTTAATTGGCCCATCCATCTTAAAGCATGAGCACGAGAGATTCATCTACGACACTGAGTCTGCAATCCCCTCCGCAAAACCTACCTTCAGCTCCCTCAGGAACATGTTCTGGATGGTTCCTGGAGCATTCCATCCTTGAACTAAATTTCTCTGGGAAGCAGCGATTATCAAGGCATTTTAAATCATGGGTCCTGGCACTGTTAGCACCATTATGCTATTAGGGAATACATTTCAGATTTGACCACCAAGAGGGCAGCATTCTTAAAAGTTGGAGAAGTGACTTAAGAAACATGGAGAGGGGGGAAAAAAAAGCCTCTTTACATATCTAATTAGAAAAAAGATTAAAAAAAAGAAACTGTCCCAAGCGAGCTGACATGGTTTTGAGCTGTCCTGCCAATTTCCTGCAGAAAGCTGTCCTTCCTGAAGAGAGGAAATGAAAAACGCCAAACGGTGAGCGTGGGGCCAGTCCTGCCCAAGGGGACTTACCAGCCTTCGCTTGGGCTTAATCAAGGGCCGGTTCTGTCCGTTCATTTTGTGGTAGAGCCCGCAGGCATTGCAAAGGTAGTGGCCGGTGCCATCTCGCCGCCAGAGTGGGGTCGAGGTCGCCCCGCAGTTCACACACTCCCTGCCTTCTGGAAACAAAGTCACAGATGAGTCACTTATGGAAGGAAAACACACAGAAAAGCAGACAGCATTTGGAAAAGTAAAACTGAAAAGTTTTTTCTTTCTTCCTCCCCTTTCAGGGAACATTTCTGCCCCCACCTCCTCCTAAGGTGCTACAAAGTTGACAAGTGTCACTGTCCTGTGTGGCACAACCATCCCCCATACACACACACATCGCGGCCAAGGCAGTGGCGGGTGAATAAAGAGCGACAGAAGCTTGTCCCTGGCCTGCCCGGCTTGATGGGGAAGATCAGGCAGAACCAGGCAGGAAGGCAGATTTCAACCTGAAATACTTCCCTGAGAAAATTCTGAGCCCTGGATAGTAGCAAAAGCAAAACATTCCATTCATTTCCCTCAAAGGGAAGAAAGGAAAACAAAGGTGACCCATTATAACATCACTAGGTCTGTCTATACAGATTGATTAAATAATGAAGATCAGGATGGGGGAAAGGAAAGATTAATCCATGGCTAGACAGAGAAACAGATAATAAATAGATGTATAGATTGATCAATCGGCTGATTGATTTGAGTAGCTAGTGCTTTAGATTTTACTTCCAATAAAACTGTACAGGTCCCTGGCTGGAAATTAGCAGATTAAGACCCAGCAGGATCCACTTATTCCACTCACCATGTTTTTTTCTCTCTAGAAAACGCCAAGGATTTCCATAGCTTTCCAGCCACTGTTACAGGGACAGAAGTTAAACTATGACCCCAGCCTGACCGGCCAGGGGCTGCTGGAGAGAAACGCAGTGCAAACTTTAGGCAGGGAGGTGTTGGGGGAGACAGCATGAAGAATGGGTCAAGATCAGGAGAAGAGGCAGGTTAACCAAGGGGGAGGAGAGGTCTTGGTCAGCTCATGAACTGAGGCCTGCCTACAGTTTCTCTTTTTCCAAAAACACAAACAAACAAAATAAACAAAAAACCGGCCCAGCCGGGTTTGTTTGAGTCGTGTGAGGCATTCACTCCAGGGACTACGGCAGGAGAGTGACCCAGGCCCACCCCCAGAACGTTCCTTGGAAGAATCCCTTAAATTACCATTTTAGGACATGGAGGAATTTGTGAACTGATTTCAGCCTCTGCAGGAGAAGGGAGAGGAGGATGCTTTCTAAGAGAATCTCCTCCTCCACTTTTGGGGGACAGAAGGATGGCCCCAGCAGTGCATAGATCCAGGAGGGAACTGGCATCCCCCACCCACCTCCCTGCAGGAGGGAACGGCTCAGCTCAAGTCAGTCCCCCAGAGAGGGGAGGCCCAGGGGCTGGGACACTGCTGTGTGGCAGACGGGGAAGAAGAACCCTAAAGATTGTTTTGCTTTAGGGGAGATTTATCAATTAACACCAACCTATCATGAAGATGGGAAGGGGGTGGAGAAGAGAACCCAAAGTTTTCTTGGGAATTTTGACTCCCCTGAAAGGAAGAGAATTCTGCCTTGGCAGCCCTGGGACCTATGGGGCCTTTGGAAACCCCCCAAACCAAGTATGAGGGAACTAGGGGGGTTCACACCTGAGGGCCTGTAGTCTTCTCCAGGGACAAGTTCTGTGGGAAAGTTAGGACTTCTGCAAGTGAAAAATGGTTCCCTTTTCCATTAGAGTCAGGGATGGTGCTGAGTAGTTTCTACTTTGCTTCTTCCAAAAAATTTTTTGAGGAGTTAGGAACATTTTATTTTTTTCTCCAGATTCTAAAAGGGTTCATATCCTGGGGTCTACAGAGAGCCTTCTCTGGGTCCAAGAACCCCTGCAAGTATACATAGAAACTGAATCATACCCAGACACCTTTCATTTAGGGTCAAAAGCGTGGGGCATGTGGCAGACTGGATGGGGGAGGTGTGAAGCAGGAGCTCAAGGCGAGTGGGCGAGGAGGTGCTGGCAGCCCGAGCCAGGAGGCCGCAGGCCTGGCCTTTCCTGTCCAAGTGGGCACCAGGTCAGCCCTTTCTGGGGACAGCAGCACCAGGCCTGTCCGGGCTGGGGCTCTGGGTGGAGTAGCTGCTGTGGGGAGGGGTGGGTGGCTGGCTTGCTCCTAGGCACCCTGGTGCAGGGGGATCTCCCAACCTGACACGATCAGTCTGATTTCCTTTAGTTTGTCAGGCAGTAGGGAGGATGACAGCTTCCTTTTCAGAGGGACCTTGAAAGCTAGACTGGTTCCCTTTCTGGCGATGCTCTGCACACTAGAGCAATTTTCTGTCTTGATTCACTCTGCAAGTTTATGATTGCCTTGTGTGGCCTTTTCTCTTGCTTTTCACATGGTTGCCTCTGGTCTGTGACTCCAGCAGACAGCCGGTTATCCTAAAGCAGACCCTGACTCTCTCCTGCTTTCTTTCTTTCCCTCTCCTCGCCCCTGCCTGTTGTGAGCTGCTCAGGCAAACACCTCTCTCTTAGGTGACAAGAACCACAGAGCTGCGAGGCCTCTTGACTTTCAACAACCATTTGCAAACGCCCTTGCACCTGGGACTGAAACCCTGACTCTGGTCTGTGCGAAGGGGGTAGGGAGAGAGACAGGAGATGGCTCAAAGGAAAGTAGAGGGAGATGCCCACAGTCAAAAGGGGGCCAGGAGAACTAAGAAATGGCCCTTTGTAAAAAGGCTTTGTCTTTTGTTTACAAAGATATAGCCCAGCACTGGGCGTTAAGAAAGCAGTGGGTGCCCTAACCACAGCGTCAACCGTTGCTCCAAAATGCAGCGACAACCCCGACAACCCTCTCTTCTCTGTCTCCTCCTTCAGCAAATGTATTTGCAAAGAAGAGGTTTATTAAAAAGAAAGCAAGCTAGCAACCACTAAAACCAAGAGAATCCCCTCCTCGAGAATTCCCACCACTGCCACCCTCTGCACACAGAGGGCTTCTTGAAACTTCCCTTCCACACTCCCAAAAGTCCCGGCTCCCTCGCTGACCAGGTGTGCTGTTCTTGGTTTTCATGACTGTGAGAAAGGGATGAGGAGGAGGAAGTGCAGAGCCAAATTTCAATGGGCTCCCCTCCACCTCATCAAAAAAAATAGAATAGGTGGATAGGTACCCCTAGCTCCCGCTTAGAGAAACCATCACTCTTTTTTTCCTCTCCGTCAAAAAAAATAGGTGGATAGGTACCCCTAGCTCCCGCTTAGAGAAACCATCACTCTTTTTTTCCTCTCCATGTTCAGAGAGTTCAGGAGAGAAAAGAGAAAAAGGAAGAAATTAAAGTGAAGGCAGAAAGTGTGCACAACAGAGGAGAAGAAATCAAACGTGGAAATGAGGGCAAAGAAACCAGAGTCTTTTGGAAAAGTCACTCTATCCCCTCCCCCCACACAAACCACCACAGCGGCCTCAGTTACCACGATCTTTCCCCTACCTCTACCAGAAAAAAAGAACTTTTAAAAAAAAATCCCATTACAACCTCAAATGCACAGGTTTGCTCTCTTTACAGTCAGCCTTGCAGCCTGTTTTCCTGCGTCCGGCTGGACCCCCACCTCTCCCCACTGTCGAGCCCAGCCCTGACCAGGGCACCGGGCCACTTTCCTCCTCGCTCTCCCCGCCTCTAGCTTTCTTTCTGACTCCACCAGCCGGCCCACCTCTCTCTCCCTCCTGCCTACGTTCATGCACTGAACATGCAGGTCTGAGTTTTTCTGTCAGCCTAACCGCATCCGGACTCTATTAAAGTTCCTGGCTCGGGATAAACAGTGCAACTGTCGCGTGCAGCAGTCTGAAAATAATTGGATTAGCTAAAACATATCAACTAAATAGAGACAGTCCTGCTCAGGCAGTCAGAGTGAATGTCACCCTGGAAAAAAACCCTGAAAACTGATCTCATGGTCACTGGGCTCCTAGAGCCCTCCCTCTGAAGTTTTTCAAACCGGAATTTGGGGACCTCCGTTTTGAGACCACTCATCTCGTCCTTAAAAGACAAGGGATTTCCACTATTGCCTTTTATATAGGATCCGGATGGACAGAAGGCAGAGACCTGACAATTCCAGTGGACCAGAGATGCCTGCCCTGAAATGAACACCCCTAAGGAGACATGACAATTTTCACAAAATCACACCTAAAAAATACAATTAAATTTTATCTCACAAAATCCCTAACTCTGTTTAACTTAATTGCTTCAGAAAGAAACAAAATTGGTGATACATTATTTTCTTTTTAAAGCAGAAGTATTTTACAGGTTTTTTGTTTGTTGTTGTTGTTGCTTTTTTTTTAATACAGGTGACAACACCAATAGAATAAACATGCAGCATGCTGCTAGACGAGGTTTGCTTTTTGGAAAGGGAATACGTGGGGGAAGCTGAGACACACACCTGCAGAGTCTCTCAGCCCTCTCTACCTCCTCTGGCTTCAGATCAATGGAAGAATGTGTCCTGAACCGGCTTCCTGCCCCTGCCGCACTGAGACAGCTCCAGAAGACAGTGCAGATAACTTACTGGGCCGAGCACGACGTTTGATTTTCATTCAGCTCTGCTTCCCCCATGCAGAGCCACCTTCTTCTCCTGGTACTGGTAGTCAGCCCAAGAGCCCCCTTTTCCACGCAAACAGTGTGTGCTGCTTTACCCAGGTTCCCGCACCCCCCCAAACATATGTGTACACTCACACTTTACCTATACATGTCTATAGAAAGGGCTGTCCTCACTGCACGGCCCCCTCTGAGCTGAGAACAGAGGAACAGTAAGACTGACAGAGGCCAAAGGGGTCACAGGAGGGACCTGTGTTTGTTTAGGTTTGAAGAGGTTTCGTTTTAGCATTAAACACTAAAGATTTATTCCCGCGGCCTTCCATTTGGTCTTGGAAACCGACTGAAGGTCAGCAGCAGAGTGCACGAGCCCTGCGACAGGCGGGAGAGGGCACTGCTTTGTTTTCGTTTGTCTTTTTTCCTTCCCCAGCTCATTGGGGGTTTTAAATCAGACCCCACCTCCCCTCTGTTTCCAAAGACAGGAACGAGATAGGAGGACGCACCTCGCTCTTCCCGGGCTGGGCTGGGCTGGGCTGGGCTGGGCTGGGCTGGGCTGGGCTGGGCTGGGCTGGGCTGGAAGGATGAGAAGAGAGCGAATTGCAGAAGGGGCTGGAACACCCCCAGCTCCCCTGGGGGGTGCTCTCTGCTGCTCTTTGCCCTGCCCTGGATTCAGAAGGGAGGTGGGAGGAGGGGGAAGGGCTCCCAGGGGAGAGGTGGCTCCTACCTGTGCTGGATCGCGCCTTGGGCCTCGACTTACACCCGAAGCCGGTGGGGGAGCCCCCTAGCAGGCTGCTGGGGGGGAAGAGTCCGGAGCTGTATTCGGGCACGTAGGGCGGGTAGGTGGTGATGGGGTGGTGGGCCGACGACGAGGCGGCTCCCAAGGTGGTCATGCTGCCGAGGGAGTGTGACGACTCGAGCTTCATGCTGTTGGGCAGCGGCACCTGGTACTTGAGGCACTCCTTCTCGTCCTGGCCGGCCGAGCCGGCTGAGCCCGGGGTGGACAGCGACGGGTCCGGGGAGACGTCCTTCGGCGGGGTGGGCGGGAAGGTGAAGAGGTGCGGGCTGGCGTGGCCCCCCGACAGGGAGGAGGATGAGGCCGGGGGGTAGACCGACAGGGGTCCCGGGGAGCCGTGGTGGATGGACGTCTTGGAGAAGGGGCTGAGGTTCCAGGGCGAGGCGGTGTGGTGGCTGCCCAGGGCTTTGCCACCGTCCAGCCAGGGCAGGGATCCGTGCAGCAGAGGCGGGCGGCATACCTGGCTCCCTGCAGCAGCCCGCCGGCAAGGGCAGGAGAGAGAAAGGCGGTGAGAGCGGCCCTGGGACACACCTGGGGGTCTCCCCTTTGCCCCCCAGCCTCCCTGGCAGCAAAAGCCTAAGCACAGACCCAGACCCAGCTCAGGCCCAGTGTCTCTAACCTGAGTGGTGCCCAGAGTACCTGGCCAGGGTAGGGGGCAGACTCTGTCCACTCCTCTCCCTCACAGGAATGTCCCACCAAATCCAGTGGAATTGAGGGCCTGTGCCTGACCCCCCAGAAATGCTGCAAAGGAGTGGAGAAGGGCCCTTGGCTTGTTTGGACTCTCCAGATACACTGTCTAAATCACATTCCCTGAGGTCCCTCTCCAGAACCTGACTTGATTTATTGGTTTCCTTCAATGGCCTGGAGTCCCCCATCCCAGACTTAATCCCAGGCAGCCTGATAAGAGAGTCGGCTGTGAATGATGAGGCCTGAAGGATCAAGCCAGGCCACACAACAAACAGCTCAACACCAGGAGAACACTCCTGACCCTGGAGAGAGGCCCGGCTTCCAGTGCCGAATGCAGGAAGGAGAGGGCTAGGGAAAGAAGACAGGGCACATTTTAGGGTTAGCTCCAAGAAACCTAATGCAGCGCTTGCAAAGAATCAGCAAGGCTGCTTCCAAAAGGCCTGAAATTTGCAAGGAAATTTTCATTGCTCGGGCTGTTGGAGAAAGTTACCAAGGCTTGACTCTGGGGTGGCAATTTTTTCTGCTTTTCTCACCCTCCCAAATCCTATAGGAGAAGAAAGTAAAATTAGCCCCATCTGCCCTAGAAGCCGTGACTCCACCAATGTGATACGTGAATTTTCACCTGAGCCTCTGAGATACAAAATTCCAGTTTATGTGTATATTTTAAACCAAGGATGATTCAGATGCAGAGTATATTTAGCCTTCACTTAAAATACACAATTTTAAGATAGCCATAACTCACACAAGTCCACACACGCTGAGAGGGGAACCTTCAAACTGCAAGTGCAAAAGCACACATTATTGATCTTTTAATCCAGCACCTGCCCCAGCTTTTGACATTCTATTCAACCATTAAGAACAATACTGAAACTAAAATCTTAAGAGAGAGGAAGGGGAGGAGAGTTGAGGGGGAAAGGAGGGTTCTCTGAACACCAAGGGTTAAGATTCATATTATGCAGGAAGTACTATAGTAAATAATATTATTAAGTCTGCATCTACCGCATTTCCACTTAACTGCTGATCTACACAGAACGTGGGCAAAGAGCGCCCCATCCGCAGAAACGATTGTTTAAAGCCTGGCCACAGCAGGGCAGAGGACGCCTGCTGCCGGAGGGGCTATGTCATCGGCGCCAAAGCGGGCTCCGAGCAGGGGCACCAGGGCAGACCTGGGTCTGGCTGGACGGAGAAAGCCTCACGTTTTCTTCACCCCGATTTTTGCTATTTCTTCTTTAGGAACAGACTTACAGCTGAAAAGCGTTAGAGCTGATTTCCACTAACTACACAAGGCTGAGTTTCTTTTTTACATTTCAGAACTCTCCTAAACTTCTCAAGGTGAAGGAAAATAAAAGGTAACTGGAACCGCTCCTACTTAAGAAAAGAAATCCTGATGTATCCTAAGTCCTACATGGGAGCCCAATAGGACTGCTGTAGGCCGGAGGAGAGAGTAAAGCAAAGTTGCAGAGAATGAGGCAACCGGAAGAAAAGACGCAGGAAATTTCTGTGCAGCCGGGAATCTAGGAAACCCCAGATCTCTCCAACTTAAGACAGTGGTCTTTCCCCCCAAACGCCTTCAAGCACCAGAATTCCATTCCTGAAGCCAGGTAGGAGACCTACCTAAAAATCAAATGCGCTAACTATGGGGAAAGGTCAAAGGCAGGGGTGTGAATAAATACGTCTCTCGGGCCTCTTTGAAAGTGCGCCGGGAGAAACAAGTTGAAGCCCCCTAGAAGGAGCTGCAGGAGAACAGGGAGGGCGAAGCCCTTTACAAGAGACGAGTCCGAGCCGGGCCTGGCTGGCGCCGGCTGCCAAACCCGAGGAACCTCGGCCGCGGAGGCAGAGCCCTGGCGCCGCGCGCCTGGGACTTCCTGGGACCCCGAAACTGCGGCCGCGCGTGGACAGAGGGCTGCAGCTCGGTGCCCGCCAGGTGAGCGCCAGACCCTAGGGACACCAGCCACGGAGAGCATTTGCTTGCTGCGACTCTTGTTAAAAACACACCCTCACGACGACCGAGACGGCTTCCTCGCCCATTTCCGGGCCCCGATTTTTTTGTAAATGAATCAATAACGACACATGGGGGCTTCCACTTAGTGTCTCCACCCCCGGGTCCCTCCCTGCCTCCCCAATCCCGGAGAGCGGGCGCGACTGCCGGGGGTCCCCGCACCCCGGGTGGACTTACCGTGGTGGGTCGGAGGGTACCTCTGCACCGTGGCCCTGACCGAGTTTCCGTAATACGATGGAACGTGGTTGCCTTGACCGTCGATGTTAAAAAGTACATCCACCTCCTCGGGCAGGGGGTACTGCGCCGGCTCCATGTAGGAGTGGCCGAGGCCCGGATGGTGCGTGTCCGGGTGCTGCCCGTTGAGGACCGCGGGGTGGTGGTGGCTCACCCAGCGCGGCTGGTCCGCCGTCACCTCCATGGCCTCGGCTGCGCTGGCGCCCTCTCGCCGGGCCCGGAACCCGCGCGCGGACAGGGAGGGCGGTCGGCCTGGGAGGTCGGGGGGCTCCTGCCGTCGGGGAGCCGGGGGTGGTTCAATGATTTGTTTTCAGTGGGGGAATGGGAAGGCTGGGAAGGAAAGGTGAGCAAATGAAAGGGTTTAAAAAAAAAAACTCTTTGAGGGGTTGTGTAGCAAAGAGAAGAAGGGGGAAAATCCAAAAACTAGGTACGGCAGGATAAAAGGGGACCAAAATTGTAAAAGAGCGGGGCGAAGACGCTGCAGTTTGCAAATGAGGCTCCTCTGCACCAGGGTTCCTCAGAGGCTCTCTCCTCGGGTCACCTGCAAGGGAGAGAAGAGAGAGACCTGCATGAGCCCGTAAGTACCGTAGCACCTGACTTTCTGCGGTGGCACCACCTCCCCTCGACCCGCCCGCCAGGCCCGGCGCACCCGGGACAGGCACACGCGCGCGGGAACGCAGCCGGACAGGAAGCAAGACTCCGGGGACATCCCAGCAGCCCGGCTCGCGGGAGCCCGGGACTGACTGAGCGGTTACAACTTGGAGGACAAGTCCCTCTCTCGGGGACACAGGTCCCAGGACCTTCTTTCCAGCCTCTAGAAAACCTCCAAAAGAGGAAAGTTGAGTTTTTAAAAAAAATTTAAAGTCCTCCGAAGTGAAGGGGGAAAATCAAACCTAAAAAAAAAAAAAGTGACGAGTACCAACCTGAGCAGCGAGGAGCAGAGAGGAGGAGCAGGAGGCGTGTGACCTGCTCGGTCGGATTGCGTGGCTCGCTCTGCCTTGCTCTCTCCGTCTCTCTCTCTTTTCCTCTCTCTCCCTCTCTCAGTATTTTTTTTTTTTTTTTTTTTTTTTTTTAAGGGGAATGCATTCTTTCTGAAAGTATCAAGACGGCGCCAGGCAGCTCAGTGTTCGCAGACAGCTGTGGCGCGACGCAACTTAAGGAGGTTCTAGTGTCATCCGCGCCGAGGGGGGAGGAGCCTGGTGCTGGTGAGGAGGGGAGAGGATCCCCAGCGCAGGGAAACTGCAACCCAAACCGGCTCCAGGACTTCAACACCGCCCCCCCCGGCAC